CTACCATTGGAGAATAAGTCTGGGAGAGAAGTGGGGACTTGGTCTTTTTCCATGGTATGGTGTAACATTTTTAGCAGATCATATTGATAATATTACATATACGTTGCAGGGCTTTGCAAATGAAACAATAAGAGGGTTTCACCTTCTGTCAAATGCTCAAAGAAGTCACAGACTGACGTTGTTGAAACATGACATGGCTCTTGATTATATTTTGGCAAAACAAGGTGGATTATGTTTGGCTATGAATCTGACGGGGGATGATTGTTATACTTTGATCCCAGATAGTTCCGATAATATCACGAGTGTTATAGATGCCTTGAAGAATATAAGGGATGCATTTGGGAGATCTGAGAAAGCTGGATGGTCAGCGAAGTCTTGGTTGCAAGATCAGTTAGGCCCAATAGGAGCAGTGATGGTGCAGATTTTAGTCGCAGCTCTGATAGCGTTGTGTGTCATGTTTTGCTTTTGTACTTTGTTACTGACCTTTGCAAAAGCTATGATATTAAGATGGGTTGGTGTTGTGATGCCTGGAGACAACACTCAGATGCCGTTGTTGATTGTTCCTGATCTGGACGAAGATGGACGAGGGGGTCTGGAGGGACTACTGATGGATAAATATCCTTTTTGATTATTTGATCATTTTTCAATTTTTTTCAATATTAGTGTGATTTTTAGTATGATTTTATGAATCAAAGGGGGGAATGGGTTTATGTGATTCATGCATCATTTATATATCATTTTTATATTCTTAGTGGATATTGATGTTTAATTTGAAAGTGTTTTTTGGAAAAGATACTGTTTGGTCTTTTTCTTTTTCTTCCAGAAGCATTTGGGGGAACATGTGGAGATTGAAATACTCAAACAAAGACAATATGACTGGAGGAGATGAAACAAGGAGGGTGTGGCCGATTCCATCATCAACAATCCATTGGAAGTCGAGACTACAGGGAGATTAAGTGTAGTGGACTACATTCCAGTGTTTGCAATGAAATATAGACATGTGTAATACATAATTGTGTAATAGCCTCAGGTATTAATTTTTGTAGAATGATGTTTGATGTTATTGAATACATGTGAGGATCTTAGATGTTTTTGTTTATTTCGGTGAATGCTTAGGGACAGAAAGTCTAGGTAGGGAGAGTTCCACTTTTGGGGTCCAATGGGTTGACCAGCCTTTAGAGTGGATGTTTTTGGATAGGATTTTGTTTGCAGGGGCTTACATGTGTTCAAATGTATTTACGTGGGTTATGAGGTTATCTGGAGTACCGAATGGTGGTTGCCTGGGGCAGAGGGACCGTGAGAGAATTTTACTGTCTTGATTGATGGATGGATATCTGAAAAGATGGCTGCCGGACAGTTTTTCGCTCTTACACTCCATAGAGATTTCTTCATATGCCATAGTAATGTATTCCCACTTCATACACAGTTATTGCATAGAAAGGTATTTACACTCTAGAGAAGAATGTTTTTGGTTTAATGTTAAAGATACTCAATAAGATAAATTGTTACTTGTTATAATCCTATTCTGTTCGGTTTCGAGACGTTTAGGTTGTCTCGAAAGGGGGGAATGTAGTGTATTGACAATATGATGGTGTTAAATGTTTTTAAATGGAACTGAAAGAATGTTGATTTTTGGTATCAAGAGGGAAGGTTTTAGCGTGACGCCACATATGACAGACAGGAAGTGGGTTGTAAGATACGGGGATTGGACAGTAGAGGGAGCCATTCAACTCTTTGAAGGCTATATAAAGGGGGGAAGAACGGCGGAGAGGCAGAACACAGTAAGATTTATTTGGGACTGTTTCTCCGGATCTCCGCGGGTCTGTTAACTTATGCTGTAACCTCGTGGTATTAATAAAAGTCTCTAAAACACGATACAGCCTAAGGGGATTCTTTGATCGACAGCAATACCCACCAGCATTCGACGCGATACCACAATATACTTAACAATTCTAAATCAAATAGCTAAATTATCCTTGGTATGATCCTATGATGATGTTAAAACAATTTAATATGTTAGCTTAATAGCTTAGTAGAATCCAAGACCCGGGACCTCCCGATTAAACTTTTGTAAACTACATAAGAATAACATTGTTTTGAGGCTCTGCAAATTGCAATCAGATAGACATGCAGACTATGTTTTTCACATACTATCATCTATGTGAGGAAGTAAATCATGGACTAAATACATATTATCAGGGTGATGCTAATGTAACAAAAGTATTGAATTATATTAGAAGTAACTATGCATATTAAATAGTTTATCAGGACCCAACCAGACTTGTGTTATAGTTTGTTGACTGACAGTGATTTGAACAGGCATCTCTAGTTCTACCACTCTACACCAATACCAGTCAGTGTTCTCTATCTTCAGTCCACTCATAGTCACTGCTAAAAGGGCAGTGCAGTGAAAAACATGATATTACAGGTTTTTTTACGATAGTTGCACACTATGAAGTTGAAATAATACTCTGAAATTTTGAAAATTATGATAATGCCCTTTTGGTGTAAGAGCTGTTTGAAAACAAAATCTGTTCAGGTGGGATGGAGTTTTTGTCCCACAGCATCGCATCTCAATCTGATCTGATTATTCTGACCAATGACCAGTCATATTTTATTTGCATATGTATCCTCCTACTTTGAAGGGGGAGTCTAGACGATCGTTTCCGCAAATCAGGTCTGTAAATGTAAATATATTTACATTTGTATCAACACACCCACACGACCAGACCAAGCATTTCAATGGAAAAATAAGGTTTAGGGAAAGAATTTATAAAAAATATATTTGAAGCTATTTTCATTAAATAAACACACACAGTAATTTGCTAGACATACAGTCATGATTTAAACATTTTGGCAGCATCAGTGGTCTGATTAAAGTCACTGATCTTCCATCTAAATCTCCAGAATTGCTCCTCACACAGGAACCACTACCACCCAGCATGCACCACCTCATACCACCAGGGTTAGTGAAGTACCAATGGACAGTGGCACTATCCACTGGGCACAGACGTCAGTTCAACATCTAGTTTTGATTTACATTTGGATGAGTTCAACTAATGTGAATTAAACGTGAAATAAAAAAAAGAGTATAACTCTACATGTCTTTAACTCTCTTCCTGTTTCTGTTTGAATGTACATAACCCCCTCAGTGGCAGATATCAGCAATGGTATTTTATGGTCTAGTTTTAACCTAATACATATTAATTTCAACACATTTTGTATTCAGCATCATCATCATAATTATTTTGTTACACAGCTTGTACATTTAATTTACACTCTTGATCATGATTAGTTACTGGTGTTGGACATTTGACTAGATACATAAGAGAAATAAGATGAACATGTAACAAGTTCAAGTGACAAGGGTAAAAGGTGGGTGACACATAACTACTATAACAGATAGTGTATGTGGTGACAATGAAAACTAACACAGCAGACTGTCTTCAGTAGTTTATGAACACAAAAGGATAGAGTGGTCTTTCTGGGGTGGGTTAAGAGGTATGAAAGAAGCATATTGGAGGCAGATAGATGCACCTGGCCTCACCCTACTAGAATCTGACGTAAAATGTCTGTTTGCTGATGATCTGGTGCTTCTGTCCCCAACCAATGATGGCCTACAGCAGCACCTAGATCTTCTGCACAGATTCTCTCAGACCTGGGCCCTGACAGTAAATCTCAGTAAGACAAAGATAATGGTGTTCCAAAAAAGGTCCAGTTGCCAGGACCACGAATACAAATTCCATCTAGACACCGTTGCCCTAGATGAAACATAAAACTATACCTACCTCGGCCTAAACATCAGCGCTACAGGTAACTTCCACAAAGCTGTGAACGATCTGAGAGACAAGGCAAGAAGGACCTTCAATGCCATCAAAAGGAACATAAAATTCGACATACCAATTAGGATCTGGCTAAAAATACTTGAATCAGTTATAGAACCCATTGCCCTTCATGGTTGTGAGGTCTGGGGTCCGCTCACCAACCAAGAATTCACAAAAGGGGACAGACACCAAATTGAGACTCTGCATGAAGAATTCTGCGAAATTATCCTCCGTGTAAAACGTAAAACACCAAATAATCCATGCAGAATAGAATTAGGCCGATACCCGCTAATGATCAAAATCCAGAAAACAGCCGTTTAATTCTACAGCCACCTAAAAGGAAGCGATTCCCAAACCTTCCATAACAAAGCAATCACCTACAGAGAGATGAACCTGGAGAAGAGTCCCCTAAGCAAGCTGGTCCTGGGGCTCTGTTCACAAATACAAACACACCTCACAGAGCCCCAGGAAAACAACACAATTAGACCCAACCAAATCATGAGAAAACAAAAAGATGATTACTTGACACATTGGAAATAATTTACAAAAAAAACGGAGCAAACTAGAATGCTATTTGGCCATGAACAGAGTACACAGCGGCAGAATACCTGACCACTGTGACTGACCCAAAAGTTAGGAAGTGCAGCTCAGTTTCCACCTCATCTTGTGGGCAGTGTGCACATAGCCTGTCTACCCTTGAGAGCCAGGTCTGCCTTCGGCGGCCATTCTCAGTAGCAAGGCTATGATCAATGAGTCTGTACATAGTCAAAGCTTTCCTTACCTCCTGCCAAATGTGTGACCATGTTAGAGACACATATTTCCCTCAGATTACACAGATCCACAAAGAATTCGGAAAACAAATCCAATTTTGATGAACTCCCATATCTATTGGGTGAAATACAACATTGTGCCATCACAGCAGCAAGATTTGTGACCTGTTGCCACAAGAAAAGGGCAACCAGTGAAGAACAAACACCATTGTAAATACAAGCCATATTTATGTTTATTTATTTTCCCTTTTGTACTTCAACTATTTGCACATCATTACAACACTATATATAGACTCAATATCACATTATAAGTATCTTTATTATTTTGGAACTTTTGTGAGTGTAATGTTTACTGTTCATTTTTTATTGTTTATTTCAGTTTTGTTTTTTATGTATTTCACTTGCTTTGGCAATGTTAACATATGTTTCCATTAACAATAAAGCCCTTAAATTGAAATAGATGTTGTGACACAGGAGCGGAGAGTGGGCTGTCCTTCCAGGATAAGGACTCAACCAAGATCACTCAATCAGTCACTGCTGTTCTGCTGTTGCCCTCTGCTGGAGAGGAAGAGAAACATTCAGTCAAAATCACACACACTGTCATCTTACGGATAGACAATGATAACGATATCTGGTAAAACAGACAGAGGAGACACCAACACTGACCTGTGTGGTCACCTGTAGAGCTAGTGAGCTGTAGACCACATTATCATCTGGTTCTGCTGCCTACAGAGGAGGAACAGGTAGAGAGGTGAACAGGGACAGTTCTGTTATAATGGAGAGTACAGTTTGAAACAGACTTCTCAGTGAAATTAAAAGTGTAGACAGTTGTAATTGTGATATGTGACATAACGGTGATATATTATACCTATAGGTATAATGGTGACATAACCATGACTATATTAACACTGAGGAAACAATCACCTACCGTTGTTTCTGATAACATAATACTAGCTGTGGCTAATAAACAGAGCAGCTTTACCTTGGCCTGTACTTTTAGTTGGGCCTTGTGCTGGGGGATGACAGTGCTGTATGTGACATCATCATCATCTTCAGGAAATGGGGCCTGCTGGTAGAGAGAGACCCAGATAACAAAAATGTATTGTTATATTGTTATAGTGTACATTTACCTATTGCTTGTTCCAAGACAGAAAATGATACTGTAAATACAATTGTTTTCTAAAACAGATGCAAACAGCCATAATGTTGTCTAAGACCCAAGATGCATGTAGCCATTTGTTGACGTTCTGTTCTGTCCTGAACTGATCAGGCATCACAGTGCTGTACATCACGTCATGGTGGCTGTCTGGGTTTGGGCTCTGAGAAATGGACAGCACAGAAGGTAAACATATGGCTACATGCATAGGAAGACAGAGTATAGGAACTTCAGATACTCAGCTCTACACTGCAGGAATTGAGTAGAGAGAGAGAGAGAGAGAGAGAGAGAGAGAGAGAGAGAGAGAGAAGAGAAAGGGGGCCGGAAACTAGGGAAAAAGAAAAGGGGAAAAAAGGGGAAGGTGGGGGAAAAAAGAAAAAAAATTTTAACCCCCCCAAAACTTAGTTTGGGGGGGGCCCCAAAGGGGGGGGAAAGGGGAAAAAAAGGGGCCCCCCAAAAAAAAAAGGAGGGGGGGAAAAAAAAAGGGGGTTTCAAAGGGGCAATTTAGGGGGAGGGGGAAAGGACCCCAAGGGCAAAAAAAACCCCTAAAAAAAAAGGGAAAAAAATTTTTTGGGGGGGAAAACCCCCCGGGGGGGGGCCCCCGGGGGGGGAAAAGGGAAAAGGGAAGGAGAAGAAAAAAAAAAAGGAAAAGAAAGGGGAAATTTTAAAAAAAAAGGGGTTTAAAAAGGGTGAGAAAAAAGGAAGAAACCCCCCAAAAAAAACATTTTTTAAATTTTTGGAAAAAAAGGGGAAAGGGAAAAGGGGCCAAGGGAACCCGAAACCCCCTGAAAAAGGAAAAAGAAGGGAATGAAAAAATGAAAGAAACAAGGGGGGAAAAAAAAAAAAAAAAAGGACCTTTCCCGAGTTTAGGTTTTTTTCCCCCCTTTTTTTTTTTTTTTTTTTTTTTTTTTTTTTTTTTAAATAAACCCCAAAAGGTTTTTTTTAAAACCTCCCTTTTTTTTTTTCATTCTAATAAGGCAAAATTGGGCGAAAAAAATAATTTTTCAAAAACTTTTTTTTTTACCAAAAACACTTTTTTTTTCAATTTTAGTCAGGATAATTTTAAAAAACCCCCAAAAGCCCCAAAAATCATTTTTTTATCTATGGGCCTTTATTAAATAAAGAACTTTAAACAAAAAACAATAAAAAGAACTTTTAATTTTTTCATTTTTAAAGAAACGTTTTTTAAAAATTTGGATAAATAAAATATTACTACACAGTTGAAAAAACCTGCCTGGGAAAAATTTTTTATTTTTGAGAAAACTTTTCTAGTTTTTTTTTTTAATTCCCCCAAAGATAAAAAAAACCAAAAAGAAAGAGAGAGAACCTTAGCTCCATGCATAGATGGAGTGATTGGTACTAGTCCAAGATCTCCACAGACCTAAACCAGGTTTATTCAGTTTGTACCTGCTGTGCTGTTTCTCTGGTGTGGCTCACTGTGCTGTATATAATGTCCTGCTCAGGGTCAGCAGACTGCAAAGAAATAAATAGCAAAGAGAAACAGGACTTGTCTATTTACCAACTAAACCACTGTTTTGTTTCCATAATAGGATGCAGTCACAGATATATTTAGTGAACTGACAACTTCCTGTTCTCTGTCTTTTAAACATCATTTTTCAACGTCTTGAGTGCTATAAGACCTTGGGTTCAGTTAGAATATTGTACCTTTTATGTCAACTCATTGATAACCAACTGAAGAGGTAACACTAGAGTTAAATGGTAGATGATCCCAAATCATGAACAGAAAAGCAGATGGTTGAAAATAATAGAATAAAATAAAATAAGTGTATCCTACCACTGAGTTGTTAGTTGTCTGGTCCTTGGCCTTATTGTCCTCTGGAATAAAGAGGGAGATGTCAATTACTTCTGAGTTTGTTATTGTACAATAATACCTCTAAATGGATTTCTTATAGACAACTCCTCCAAATACTTTCTATCATTCAAGATAAATCACAGGCAGCAATATACTGTTGGTCGCAATGTCAATACATATTTTTCTAAACTATTCTACTTTTTTATATTCACATAAAAACTACTTACTATGCTTTGTCCACATCTTACATGTGACTAGGATACCAGCTGTCACCACCACCAACATGCCCCAAGGAATCAGTAGGACTTTCACATCTATGGACCTGATGGATTACATAGAAGAACTTGAATCAAAAATACAATTAAAATAGAACATTATAAATTGATCATTTGTGAAAAAGTTATAACTTGTTGTTTACACTGTTGTGATAAACTGAACAAGTATTTAGCTATTCACATGTGTGGAAGAAGACCATGCAACTGAAGAGATTACATGATTATTATTGAGATTATTACTTTACAAATAACGTTTTTTTTTGTGTGTAACTTGCCCTTGCAAACGAGTGAGAATAACACCAAAATTGATGCTACTTCCCCAAAAAAAAAATATACCCAAGAGGAAGTGCTAACAGTCTCTATATGCATTTAGGGAGGGTGTTTGGTTAGCTTTAACTGTTGTAGTGTATGATGGAATTGTAATGTTTCTTTGTGTTCATATTATCTAACAATTGCCATAATATGTGGGATAATACAGCTGAATGAGTGATAATAACCTCTGGTGGACGTCCTCCTTGTTCCCCTCAGCTCCTTGACTTGTGTTGTCAGTCTGAACAGGCTCAGCAGTTGGAGAGGCAGAGGGTTGTTGAGTGGTTGGAGCTTGGATTGCTGTGAGGTAAAATAACAATGGCATCAGTGAAATTAATGGAATACCAGATAGTCAGGTTGTATAGCAACATTACATTCATAGTTAATATTACAATTAATTCCAGATGATGCCACTGGATTAAACAGAGTGAATCATATTTGATAATAATGTATGTAAGTCATCTACTAACTTGAGGTCATCTTAATGGTTCTCTGTGTTGCAGTTTGTTGACTGACAGTGATGTGAACAGGCATCTCTAGTTCTCCCACTTCACACCAATACCAGTCAGTGTTCTCCATCTTCAGTCCACTCATAGTCACTGTTAAGACTTTTCTGTTGTTGGCAACACTAGTCCGCTTTAATGTCACTGATGTTCCATGTAAAGTCCCAGAATACGAACTCACACAATCACCACCCATCCTGCACCACTTCATATCTCCAGAGTTACTATAGTAACAACGGACAGTGACACTCCCTCCTTCTACTCCAGTCACTTCCTGTTGGTCCACATAGAGTTCTGGAGTAGCTGAACACAGAGATAAAAAAAACAAGAATTCAGAGGAGAAAAAAGTGTTTTTACAACAGGCTCCTTACAAATTCCTTAAAGCTGCAGTCTGTGATTGGTACATCCATTGTTGGTCTTTTGAATTCATAATAATTATATATAGCCATTGATTCTTGAAGAATTTAAGTTGCCTCACGAGTTTAGTTCAACTGTTACCCCATCATGACCCCAAATATATTCTTGTTTTACTCAGTTGTTTGTAAACAATGTAATTGTAAACAAACGCTGTCCAGCTTCAAAACACGGTCAGTTCTTGCACCTTTATCATTTCAGTGGTTACACATTTATCATTTCATTTGTTGTAAAATGATATTTATAATTGGGTCATTATTTTGTATTTGACATTGCAGGTTTACAGGACAATCCATAGGACATTGGTGAGCACTATTCATTCTACTTTACTAGATACAAACAGTGAAGGGATCTTACCTGGAGTGACAGATAGGTAGAACCATTGTATCCTGATATCTGTTCCTCCATTGATCTCAACAATACACCTGTAATTCTCAGAGTCCCATGACTTCAGGTTAGTCATGGTCATAGTGAAGATTCTCTTGTTGATGTCATCAGAGATTGAGGCCTTACCACTGATCTTAGGATGGTCAGTGCGTACCACATAAGAACATCCATCCCAAAGGAATCCTTTACACCAGTATTTCACATGGTTGATGTGATTCAGATCATAGTGACATGGGATGGTGATGGAGCCTCCTGTCTGCACAGACACATGCCTCACTGTGGACACATCAACACAAAACACATTTAAATTAGAATTAACATTTAACAGAATCTGTACAAAGGAAAAATACAAAATGAATCACATTGCTCCAAACACTTTTACACAGCTCGTTCATGATGTGGTCCTCTGTAGCTCAGCTGGTAGAGCACGGCGCTTGTAACGCCAGGGTAGTGGGTTCGATCCCCGGGACCACCCATACACAAAAATGTATGCACACATGACTGTAAGTCGCTTTGGATAAAAGCGTCTGCTAAATGGCATATTATTATTATTATTATTATTATTATGATTGAGATTGATTATACAGTGTTTTAAGTGAATAGACCCAGGGGACTTCGCCCTTAATTCATAGAAATAGTACCCTTACCTGCTGAGAGTACAAAGAGGATGAGGGTGAGGATGAGGAAGAGGAGGAGGAGGAGGAGGGAGAGATGAAGAGCCATGTTTACGGTTTCAGTCTGCCTGGTATATTATATGGTACCTGAGCACAAATGTGTGTCAAGTACCAAGGTACCAGCCAGAATGGCTCTACTTCCTAATGTTAATAGACTTCACTGTCTGTAACTCTCTTCCTGCTTCTGTTTGTGTGTACATGCCCCCCTCAGTGGCAGATAGCAACTATTGCATTACAAAGACTAGTTTAACCCCAAAATCATAGTCACTAAAATATATTTCAGCTTTCTCTAAGGGTTTTGGGACCAAAAGTCACTACTATCCTGTTACCCTCTACTGGAACATAGGCTACTAATGATACAAAGATTTGATAATTGGGTGACATGCACAATATTTCCATTGTCAAAAATCTATATTTCGGTATATAAGAAACGATATGATAAATGTACTCTATGTGCTAGACATTGATATATTTGAGGGGTCATGTGCTACAGCGATGTAGTGATGGGTACTAGACCAAGACCTCCACAGACTCTCATTTTAAACCAGGTTCATGGTTCAGGGTCCTCCGGACCACAACCCAGTCTGATATTATTTTACGTTCAACAAGAACGCTCTCTGTCTCTCTCCCTTTTCTATACAGGAAATGTACAGCTCACAACCACAGATGTCCTCTAAGCATAAGTGTGAAAGTTAGCTCAGAATGCCATAATGTCATGTTAAATACTGAGCTATTCATTCTGTTGTTGGCTCCAATACAGCAAACTACTTCAGATACATCAGAATGTCACTCTCAAAATCACAAACGATCTTGAGAAGAATAAAATGTCTTAAAAAATATTCATGAAATTTTTTTTGATCGCTTTCATACTATTTTCACATGTATGTGGTAACATTTCACAACTCTTAGTACAAAACTCAAAACAAATCATCAAAAAGGCTGTTTTTTCAAAACTTTAAGCACATTTTCAATTGACTAAGTACAACACACAAAATCACACAAACCTTTTCACCAAACATTATGTGTTTCATCTAGAAATACCTTTCATATAAAGTAATTGCCTTTAACAATGTAATAATCACAATACTTTTCATATGATTCTCTTCTCATTTGTTTAAATACATTTGACCATCATGCAATCCAACGGCGCTTAATGGTTAGTCACTTAACCGTTGGTAAACCCATTGATTTTTGACTGGTTTGTCTACTATATATGTATTTAGAGAACTACATAAATACAATGTGTGTTTGTATAGTATAAACATCTAAATGACATGTATGATACATGATAACCATACATAATGAATATTCATTAGTACTAATTGATTTCACATAGTCCCCTGTAGCTCAGTTGGTAGAGCATGGCGCTTGCAATGCCAGGGTTGTGGGTTCGTTTCTCACGGGGGGCCAGTATGAAAATTTATGCAATCACTAACTGTATGTCGCTCTGGATAAGAGCGTCTGCTAAATGACTAAAATGTAAAACATAGTGCAACCACTATTGGTCACCATATAAAAAGGTGTGTGTGAACACTTGCAATTACTTTAACAAGGAGCAGGATAGACAGCAAGGGGGAGGGAGAAATCAAAGAGCTGGTGGACAAGGGGCCGTCAGAGAGGTGGGCATGGGCCCCATCAAAGAGGTCAAAGAGGTGGGCATGGGCCCCGTCAAAGAGGTCAAAGAGGTGGGCATTAGACCCATCAAAGAGGTCAAAGAGGTGGGCATGGGCCCCATCATAGAGGTGAAAGAGGTGGGCATGGGCCCCATGAAAGAGGTCAAAGAGGTGGGGAGTCGTGAAGGTTTGAGTCTGTGTGTGTGACACAGTATCTGTGTACTAATGTGTAGATCAGTCAAGGACAAAGGCACCAGTCGAGGATTACTCTACTTCCCAATGTTCACAGACCTCACTTTAACTCTTCCTGCTTCTGTTTGTGTGTACATGCCCCCGTCAGTGGCAGATAGCAACTATTGCATCATATGGACTAGTTTAACCCAAACTCATAGTCACTACAACATTGTTCAAGCCCCCATGCAGTTTCATTTTATTTTTAAATCACTGTCTGTGTTCATTTCATGAAAACAAATCAAAAATACATTACATCCTGAGCCTCCTTTTGACATTGAAATGCTCTGTGTGATCATGTGTGCGTGTTGATACAAATTTAAATATATTTAAATACAGAGCCCTGATTGGCGGAGATGATTGTATAGACTAGAGCCTACCCAGCTTACCCCTTCAAAGTAGGAGGATACATATGCAAATAAAACAGAATCAGAATAATCATTTCAGATTGTGATGTCATTCTGTGGGTCAAAAACTCCATTCCACCTGAACAGTCTGAAAATCCTGGCGTTTTTTTCTTCAAAAAGCTCTTACACTAAAAGGGCATTATCCAAATGTGTTACAATTTCACAGTATTATTTCAACCTCATTGTGTGGAAATATAATTTAAAAACAAACAAGAAACTCACATTTTTGACTGCACTGCCCCTTTCAGCAAGGGCTCTTTGGGAGCAATAGTCACGATTATCCTGTTACCTTCTGCTGGAAAATAGGTCACACATTGCCTCCTGGCTAACCACCTGTTCGTCAAGGCTTAGAAGTGCCAATTTCATCAGAAGGCTGTCTCCTTCTTAGGCTACCAAATCAGCCCGCAGGGAGTGAGGATGGACGACAAGAAGGTAGATGCAGTCAGGTTATGGCCAGTCCCGACCACCATAAAGGGGTTACAATGGTTTTTGGGGTTTGCCAACTTCTACCGCAGTTTCATCAGGAACTTCAACTTCGTCGCCGCCCCTCTCACCTCTCTCCTCAAGGGTGGTCCCCGTAGGTTGGTATGGAGCCCAGCAGCCGACGAGGCCTTCCGTCTACTCAAGGGATGTTTCACCTCCGCCCCATTGCTTAAACACTCAGATCCAACGATATCCTTTGTGGTGGCGGTGGACGCTTCAGAGGTGGGCGTGGGGGCAGTTCTGTCTCAACGACAGGGTAATCCACAGAAATTGTGTCCGTGTGCATATATCTCTTAGAAACTGACCCCTGCAGAGAGGAATTAGGACGTCGGTGATCGAGAGCTCCTGGTGTTGAAGTTGGCATTAGAGGAGTGGAGACACTGGCTGGAGGGCACCAAGGTACCATTCGTCATCCTCACCAACCATTGGAACCTGGAGTACATACGGACAGCGAGGAGGCTGAATCCTAGCTAAGCAAGGTGGGCCCTTTTCTTCACAAGGTTTGACTTCACGCTGACCTATCGCCGAGGTTCAAAGAACACCAAGGCCAATGCCCTGACCCGTCTCTACGATTCAGGAGAGGGTCCTGTCCTAAGTGCATCCTCCCGAGTCGTAGCTCCTGTGGTCTGGGATGTAGATGTTGCCAGGCTCTGGAGAGGGAGCCGCGACCACTAACTGTCCTCCCGAGCGCATCTACGTTCCCACGTGAATAAGGGATTGGCTGCTGACCTTGGCAAACACAGCTGTCGTCGCTGGACATCCAGGTATTTCTCGCACTACCCAATCCATCTCTGAGAAGTACTGGTGGCCCACCTTGGCGCATGGCATCATTCGCTACGTCAACGCCTGTTCCGTATGTGCCCAAACCAAATCCCCCGAGAACGATCCAGCAGGGAAACTCCTTCCCGTGCCTCAGCGTCCCTGGTCCCATCTATCCACTGACTTAGTTACTGGTCTCCCCTCCTCTGAGGGTTTCACCACCATTTTGGTGGTTGTGGATAGATTTTCTAAATCCTGTCATTTAATCCCTCTTTCTGGCCTCCCTACCGCTCTCCAGGTCGCTGAGGCACTATTCCAGCAGGTCTTCCGGCATTATGGCCTTCCAGAGGAAATTGTCTCCAACAGTGGCCCCCAATTCACATCATGGGTATGGAGAGCCTTTATGACAGTCAGCCTCATTTCCGGGTATAGGCCTCAGTCCAACGGGCAGGTAGCGAGGATGAACCAGGAGCTGGGGAGGTTCCTGAGCAGTCACTGTCAGGACCGGCAGGGAGAGTGGGCTCGACTCCTTCCATGGGCGGAGTACGCCCAGAACTCGCTACGTCACTCCTCCACTGGGTTGACCCCCTTCCAGTGTGTTCTGGGTTTTCAGCCGGCCCTGGCTCCGTGGAACCCGGGCCAGACCGAAACTCCTGCGGTTGAGTGGTTCAGCCGCACAGAAGAAGTGTGGAGCGATGACCACATGAGACTCCAGCTCGCCGTCCACCGTCAAAAGGAGCAGGCAGACCGCCACCGCAGTGCGACCCCTGTGTACCACCCTGGGGATTGTGTCTGGCTCTCTACCAGGAACCTCCCACTCCACCCTGCAAGAAGCTGAGTCCCCAGTTTCTGGGGCCATTCAAGGTTCTCTGGAGGGTCAACGAGGTGAAATATAGGTTACAGCTTCCCAGTGACTACCGTATCTCACCTTCTTTTCATGTCTCCCTTCTCAGGCCGGTGGTTCCTGGTCCCCTAGCTTATGCTGTCCCCCACGACACTCCTTCGCCCCCCTCGACATCGAGGGGGGTCCTGCTTATGCTGTCAGATCTCTACTGGACTCACGACGTCGTGGGGGTCGGCTCCAGTACCTGGTGGACTGGGAGGGGTATGGCCCAGAGGAGCGGTGTTGGGTTCCGGTGGAGGACATTCTGGATCCCAACATCATCCGTGATTTCCACCTTCGCCGCCCGGACCGGCCCGCTCCTCGTCCTCGGGGCTGCCCCGCTGGTCGGCGTTGTCCTGCGGCTGGAGCCGCGCTTCGGTGGGGGGAGTGGTACTGTCACGTCTACTCCCGCTCCACCCCTTCGGCATTCGACGTCGCCAGTATACTAGATTACATTCCTCTTAAGAGGTGCAGGTTAGTAGCTGGCACAGCCACAAAGTCATAACATCTGCTTTTATACCTAACTCTAACCTTAACCACACTGCTAACCCTAATGCCTAACCTTAAATTCAGACCAAAAAGCTAGTTTTTGTTTTTATAAATTTTTACAATAAGCTACAGACAATTTTGACTTTGAAGCTGGCCCATCTAGCGGAAATCGCTCAGTTCTGCC